TTGTTGTTGTTTTTAGGTGGGAGGTTCTTTTGCAACTGTTGCCCTGGAGCAGATGAAGAACTGTGGAAGAATAGCTGTGTGTGGAAGTATCTCCACCTACAATGACAGCACACCGCAGACAGGTGAGGATAGCAGGCATCATTTTTTAGAGAGTTGTAGAAACTCTGTCATTGTGGTATTCATTTTTTTTTATGAGACAGTTAATGATGTCATGTTTTCTAAAAACAAATAGATCCTAATGCTTTCATCAATTAACTTAATTCCTTCTTACAATGAGAAATGCAGTTAATACACCCATTAAAATTTCTCATGTATTATTGTTGTTTTCCACTAGAGGGAGACATTGCACTACTGAAGAAGTGTGCTTTAAAAGCTGTGGAGACAGACAGAGTTATTTTAGATATGGATTGTAGTTTCCTTGCTGTGAAATATGTTTTATATTTTTCTCTCTTTAATGATCTGTGTTTTAGGTCCGTATCCCTACTTCACTATGATCATAAAGGAGCTGAAGATGGAGGGATTTATGCAAAGCAGCAGGCAGGACAAGCACCCTGAAACCCTCAAGAGACTGTTAGCATGGGTGAAAGAGGTTAGTGTGAGCCTTTCCTTTAAGTAAAGATATAAACATCAGTTACCTGTGTTTCTGTTTTGATGTATTGTATTTGTGATCTGTGTATTGTGCGTCCACAGGGCAAACTGCAGTGTCGGGAGCACGTGACAAAAGGCTTTGAAAACATGCCGGCTGCTTTTATGGGGATGATGCGGGGAGAAAACATCGGCAAGGCCGTCGTCGCAGTCTGAAGAGTTCAATGCAAGAGAGCCAGCATTACTAATAACTGCCATTATTACACAATCTATGAATTAATGAAGAATCGAGCAATCACCATAACCGAATCATTTCACATTAACATTTCACTTGTTTTTCTTGTTTTGTTTTGTTTTTTTAGTGCATTGGTACTCATCGAAACAGCAGTTAAGCAACTCTGGTACACTTTAAACATTCAAAGAAATGTGATTTCTAGTCAGAAATCAGTTGTTCATAACGAATTGTTAGTTAAATCTGAAATATTACATTGAAATTGTGATTGTAGTTTACATTTAGACGGTTTGTGTAGCTTCACCATTCAGAGACTGAAACCTGAATGAAATTTTACTCAAGAAAAAGGAAATTGGTCAAAGGACATCATTCTGTTACGATCAGTGAAGATCTGTGGCTGCTACGTGAACACATTATTTACTGCAGAATGATTAACCGCATGCTTTGTGTTTACTGGAAACCTTTCTGTGTATAAAGTTGTTTTTTTTCTTTGTTTTTTTTTTTCCCTTGTGAAACAACAATTCTGTGGCTTCAAGCTGTAGTTTGCTATACAGTATGAATCTGATGTTTGTAGGTTCTGCTTCTTGGGACTCCCATATCAAAGGCAAGAGCAACTTAGATCCCAGCTCAGGGCCGTGCAGAGAGGTTTAAAGGGGCGGGTGCTCAAAGTTAAAAAGGGGCACATTGAACCAGGCTGAATAACAACAACACACATTCATCAAGAATCTAATATGGG